TTTTTTTGTGAGTATTATTATGAGGAGCGTGTATTCCAACGAGATTATTAACATTACTGATAACAGCGTACACTTGTGCTAAGATTAACAAAATTCCCAACTTTTTCTCTATAAAATGCATTTTTACAAAAATTTGTCACTATCTAAAATTCCAAGAATTTCTTCATTTTCAAGGATTTTCTCAAAAGTCTCAAAAATCGATTAGGAGAATATATTCGGCCAGGCCCAGGCAGCGCGCATAAATTTTAAACATTCCTGCTGTCTATGTGAAATTGTACTATTAGAAATTTCAAGAATTTTTCAATATATTATTTCCAAGAATCGTGATTTCCCATACTATGGGCCGGTATCACAGTCTTCGATTAACGTGATCGTTCGATTGAACTCACTCTTCGTCTCTTTCTAGGGGGACAGTTTGAAAGAGATGCAGAGTGTGTTTAATCGGAAGATCACGTTAATCGGAGACTGTGATACCGGCCCTATAAGATTGAAATTTTAAAAGTATATGGAATATTATAAAAAATATTAGAACATAATTAGGAACAAGATGACATATTTTAATTTAGAAATCGGCACGTCATATATTTCTTTCTTTCATTTACATTATGAGAATGACTATAATTACATTTATGATTTTAAAATATACAATGTTACATCAAAAGTAGTATTAATTACAAACAAGCAGTGAGAATTTAAGTATTAGTTATTATCAATCTCATTGCAATGTTTACAGGTAACAGCTGGACAAATTACAAACGCAACGCCAACAAATTATATTTCGTGATGCGACGTAAATGACAGTACTGAAAACCTAAAGCATTACGTAAACAATAGATTTCAATATCCCCGGAAGATTCGAGACGGACCATTGGAAGGAAGGTCAAAAGCGCGGGAAGTCAATAGTCGATTTACGCGTGCGCCCACCATGCTCCACGTGTTACCTGCGAAATTGTGCGAAATCACAACATTCCAAACACTGTGGGTATTTGCCTCTTACACCGAAGGAGACTTTTGATATAACGAGATTCGACTGTGTGAGCAGAAGTCATGGAATCGGAAACGAGAAATCAAATTGATAACGATTATACCAAGTTCTTCTACGCGACCATGTGCCACGTTTGCAAACGGTTTGGCGACGGCGTCCAATTGAAGAGTTGCGGTGGCTGCAACATGATCGCTTATTGCGGTCAGGAACATCAGAAGCAACACTGGAAGCAGCACAAACCCTTGTGCAAAGCCATACAGGACGTGCTGCAAAACTGCAACATGAATATTTGCGGTGAAACGTCGGAGGAATGTACCAATGTGAAACAGATGTTCATACTGCTGGTGTCGAGCACGCTGGAACGTCGTCTGACGATGGACGAGATGCAAATGTTCCGTTTTCCAAGGGAGTGTCTGGTTTGCCACGAACGGGACGCTCGATCGTTGAAGGTTTGTCAAAAGTGTGCTGCCAGCTTTTGTAAAAATCACAAAGACGGCACTGAGCACGGGGACGTCTGCGCTCCTCTGGAATTATGTCTTCATTCAGATTTCTTAGCTACAAGAAAGGAAAGTTATTATCTGATGCTGCTTTCTTACGCGACTCACGTTTTTGCCACGGGAAACGTTACGTTTCGGGACATGAAAGACTTTATAAACTCTTGTGGGATTATTCAGACTGACTCGGCGATGTCGTACGATATCTTGGCGGCCGATCACTCACAATATCTGACACGTCCCTTGACGTTGTTTCATGCTATGCGATTATTAAACTATGCCGCAAAACGCAAGAATCTAGTCGTTCACGTTGTAGGTGCGAGTGTCGCCGAGGAATGCACCTTAATCGGATGGGAAGTTTTGCCGCGTTTAATAGAGACCGTGATGTCGGTAACGATTGTAATGATAGGGCCGGAATTAAAACGTAAATTCGATCCGTCAGGCACTTGTGACGACTGTCCATCACCGGACAACAAAAGTTTGATTTTTAAGTACCACGATGTGTTATACAAGAACTATGTACGCAACCCGTTATTCATAAAACCGGACTTGATCGTAGGATTTAATCTGGGTATTCACGAGCGCGAACTTGGGTCCAAGAGGGAAACGTGGGCGCCGTCCATACGGATGCTAGCGAAGCAAAATTGTCCGTTCGTCTTAACGTCTGTCACGCTTCAGGACTTCGAGAAGGAGACCGACAGAATAAATACAATTCTGGGTAGACAAGTAGATTATATCTACAAAGAAAAGAATCCATTCGCTAGTCTAAGACCGCATAGAGTCCTCGGGCCGGAGCGCGTGTATTATGAGAATCAATATGTGGCTATCTACCGAAATCTTTATTCGTAACTGTTATGCGTAATTTAAGCGACCGATGCAAACCAACGGCTGTGTTTGATGACGAAGGAAACGTAGCGCGCGCGCGCGCGAAATGACACACACGAATTAACTGAACTTAACGTTTAATAAATGTAACGGATAGAACGCGCGTAAAAAATTGTATGTACTATTATACATCTGCGAATCGCAACGTGTCTTCACGAACCAAACTCCAAAAGACTGATAGCCGACACGCCGAAATGTCCTGCTTATATTTATATAGTAATTAAAAAATCTTAAATGACTATTTTCTAATTTTAGAGTAGATAAATTGTCTTACATCAGTCGAGCATAATGGATTTTATACGATTATAGATATAATGGGACACGTGGATGCGGTAACGTAAATTGTAAAATATTAATATGACTCGAATGACTGCACTGCAAATTCAAGTGTGTTATTTTAACGGAAGCTCCGCCTCTTACACATTTCTCGCCATTTTAAATTGCGTCATTTAACACGGTCGAAAGTATTAAATTAACTTTTAATTTCATTTAATTACAATTAACTTTTAATTCAACGTGTTCAATTTAACACGTAACAAAACAAAACAAGCTCCGGTAAAACCTGTCATTTTTAGACGTTTATGCGTGTAGAAATAACACATTTGGATTTACAATGTGCTGCTTTCAATTCTGTTTGTATGAAGATAGGACTTTATTAATTGTTTTGTAATGAAATTTATATCTTTGTAATAAAATATGTGTCAAGCATTCAAGCATTTAC